TACGTAAGTAATTTAAACTTTACTCCGCATAAAATAATAATGTAAAAACTGATTATATGCATTAGGATGTTTGTTTGTGGTGACGATCACCGTGCAGCAAATATTTTCTTTGCGGTGACGATCACTGTGCAGCGAATATTTATTTGCGGTGACGATCACCGGCGGTTACGGTTAGTTAAATTCAATTACCATGATATATATTTTTAGATGTATTAATAAAAATGAAAAAACAATTATCATCAACATTATTTGGTTGTTTGGATAAGTATCTTTGAATATCTGCAACTGGTGTATAAACATTTTCTGAAATATTAGGTGATATTAAACGATTTCCAAATTCTGCATATGGATTTTTAATTCCTCCTACATGATTTTTTTCTTTGGGTAATTCAAGCCGCATGCCACTATTATCAAGTTCTTTAAGCCAAGATGCTTTTAACCATTTTGCATCTCCACCTCTTAAGCAGCATAATAAAGTTAACTAGATCCAAACTCTTTACATAAGATCTTTTAAATTATCAACAGCCACAGCAGATAAATTAATTGGCGATCCGCGAGTCATTCAGATAAAATGATCGACATACACTAAGTAAATTTGACGCGATTTAATTAATAAAAAAGTCCCTTTGTAAATGTGAAGTTTTTTTTGAAAGATCTAAAAAAATTTCAGAACAATAAAGCCGGTATAGAGATAACTACAATTTATATAGTATTATCTAAGCAGATGTCTTTAGCGGCAACGGAAATATGCAGATCGGTATAGTAAGTTGAATGTTGATCACTCTTTCATAACCAATAGGGTGGCATGAATTCGCTCACAACATACTTTCATTAGAGCCTTCAACGGTAAGAAGAATAGTTTCTTCTTTAGTAACAATGAAAGATCTTAAAACATAGCGTTCTAGTGAAACACATTCCAATTTATATCCAAATCACTAGAGAAAACTGTACCACTGGTCAAAATAGCAAGATCTCCCAAGACAGACCTACGGTTATCACAAGATCTGGGTAAATCGATCAAAAATAAAAAAACCATGCGCATTTTACTCAAGTTCATGGTGAATGTATCTTGCTTTGTAAATTTTAGTGAAATTATATAATTTATCTCTTTAAAATTCAATTTTAGGTAACTATGAAGGCTTCCTTTGTTTGCATATTGAAAAACCATTATATTTTCTTCTGT